AAATTCGGAAATTCAGAAATTCAGAAATTCAGAAATTCAGAAAATCAGAAATTTGAAAATCCAGAAATTCAGAAATTCAGAAATTCAGAAATTCAGAAATTTGAAAATTCAGAAACTCAGAAATTCAGAAATTCAGAAATTCGGAAATTCAGAAATTCAGAAATTCAGAAATTCAGAAATTCAGAAATTCAGAAATTCAGAAATTTGAAAATTCAGAAATTCAGAAATTCAGAAATTCAGAAATTCAGAAATTCAGAAATTCAGAAATTCAGAAATTTGAAAATTCAGAAATTCAGAAAGTCAGAAATTCAGAAATTCAGAAATTCAGAAATTCAGAAATTCAGAAATTCAGAAATTCAGAAATTCAGAAATTCAGAAATTCGGAAAAACTCTTATTCTCCAAAACCAAAACTTTGCTCTTCAGTTTTTTCAAATTTTCTCAAATAAAAATTCTGATCCGTATCTCAAATTTCCTCCCCCATTTCCTCTTTTTTCCAAAATTTTTGGAAAAACCAAAACTAAAAAAATGACTAGTTTAAGAAAAAGAAATGGAGCAAAAAATTTGTTTTTCTACAAATTTTTTCAGCATGTTTTCTGTCAAAAAAAGGAGTGAAAAAGCATGGAAAAAATGGGAAAAAAAGTGTCAGTTTGGAAAAAAGAGAAATTTAGGGAAAAGAAAAAGAGATAAATAAGAAAAAATAAACATTTTGGAATTCGGAATTTTTGCAAAAATACTAAAAATAGTACAGTTGAAACCGTTCATCGGAACTCGGAGATTTCTGAAGTTCCGAAATTCTGATTTTTGAATTTTTATTTAAAAAAAAACCAGAAAATTTCCAGAATTTTATAATTGATATTTTTTGAATAGTTTTTTACAGTTTTCTTTTGAACCTTTAACCAAAATTTTAGATTTTTCTTGAATTTTTGAATTGAAGAAAATTGACATTTTTGGAAAATTTGGAAAAATTAAAGCATGAGAATTCAAAAAAGCAAAAATCTAAAAAATTCTGGAAATTCAAAAATTCGGAATCTCCAAAAATTGCACAAAATCTGAAAATCTTTAAAATTCTGATAAACTGAATTCAAAAATTCAGAAAACCAGAATTTCAGAAATTCAGAAATTTAGAAGCTTAGAAATTCAGAAATTCAGAAGCTCTGAAAAAATCTGAAACACGAAAGTTCTAAAATTCGAAAATTCAGAAATTCAGAAATTCAGAAGTTCAGAAATTCAGAAATTCAGAAATTCAGAAATTCAGAAATTCAGAAATTTGAAAATTCAGAAATTCAGAAATTCAGAAATTCAGAAATTCAGAAATTCAGAAATTCAGAAATTCAGAAATTCAGAAATTCATAAATTCAGAAATTCAGAAATTCAGAAATTCAGAAATTCAAAAATTCAGAAATTCAGAAATTTGAAAATTCAGAAATTCAGAAATTCAGAAATTCAGAAATTCAGAAATTCAGAAATTCAGAAATTCAGAAGTTCAGAAATTCAGAAATTCAGAAATTCAGAAATTCAGAAATTCAGAAATTTGAAAATTCAGAAATTCAGAAATTCAGAAATTCAGAAATTTGAAAATTCAGAAATTCAGAAATTCAGAAATTCAGAAATTCAGAAATTCAGAAATTCAGAAATTCAGAAATTCAGAAATTCATAAATTCATAAATTCAGAAATTCAGAAATTCAGAAATTCAGAAATTCAGAAATTCAAAAATTCAGAAATTCAGAAATTTGGAAATTCAGAAATTTGGAAATTTGGAAATTCTGAAATTCAGATATTTTTCTGTAATTCTGAATTTCAGAAATTTCACATTTTTAAAAACTTTAACAAGGTCCAAATTTTCGGAAAATTCAAAAGTTAATTAATTCGGAAAATGAGAAATTCAAAAAAATCGAAAACTCTGATATTCTAGAAATCTGAAATTAAAAAATCCCGAAAAAATCCCAAAACAAAAATCGTAAAAATAGTATAAACAAGAAGAAAAATGAAGAATGGAAAACCAACAAAAAAAATAAAAAAGAAGCGAATTTTCACACTTTTTATCTTCATCTATCTCTTCAGTGGGCCTTTGGGGCGTGGATGAGGAGCAAAGAAGAGGGAGCGCTTACGAGTTTTTCCATAAGTTTCTTCTTGAAAAAGAGAGATTGAGAGACGCAGAGAACACAGAAGAACACGGAAATTTCATCTCCTTTCGTTCTTTATTGCTTTTCTTTCACGAAAACAGATAGTAGAACAAAACAGAAAAAAAAGTAGTCTGGGTGGATGTCTAGGGGATTTTCAGAATTGCTGGCCTATGATCTGACAAAGTTTGGCCACGGCGTTGAGGCTTGGTTCTAATAGCGGCCTAGGATGCGACAAAGCTAGGCCAGAGAGTTGAAAATTTTAAAAATGAGTTTTTGAGGTTTCGAGCGTAAATTTGATACCCATATTGCCTAGTTTCTGGTATTTTAAGATAGGCTGGCCTAGGATCCGGCAAAGCCAGGCCACGACGTTAAAGATGGGTTTAAATGGTGGCCTAGGGCCCGACGAAGCTAAGCTAGAGGGTTGAGAATATCAAAATTAAGTTTTTGAGATTCCAAGCTTCAATTTGATACCCAAATTGCCTAGTTTCTGGCATTTTTAGAATTACTGGCCTAGGATCCGACAAAATTCGGCCACGGCATTAAAAACTGAGTTTCGGGGTCAGGAGCTTTGACTAAACACCAAAAGAAATCTTGAAAATGTAATCAAACGCTGAAAATCTCTTTTTCGGTCAAAGCTTCGAAATTTCTGGCCTAGCATCCGACATTTCTAGGCCAGCACCCGAAAACTCATTAGATGACGTTACAAGAAATACAAAAAAGTGCAAAAGAAAAAAGAAGGGGTGTCTGAAGTGGGCGGAGCTTAGACATGAAGAAGGAATTGAAAGAAAAAAAGGAAAATTTTTGAAAAATGAAAAAAAGAGCAATATTTAGATTGGTGGCCTAGAATCCGAAAAACTAGGCCACAGGGTGGAAAATGTTAAAAATGGGTTTTGAGGTCACAAGCTCTAATTAGATACCCATATTGCCTAGTTTCACAAATTTTTTGAATCGGTGGCCTAGGATTCGACAAAGTTCGGCCACGACTCCCAAAACAGTCTAACACCCTAAAATGACGTAAAAGTAGGCCTTTTTCCGTCAGAAAAAGTTTGAAATTTCGGCTCTTTTCTAGTTTAGAGGTCCCAAAAAAATTTAGAGGTCCCAAAAAAAATTAGAGGTCCCAAAAAAAATTAGAGGTCCCAAAATAAAATAGAGGTCTCAAAAAAAATTAGAGGTCCCAAAAAAGTTTAGAGGTCCCAAGAAAAAATAGTGGTCCAAAACTTAAAAATGCACAGATACCGGAATAATGTACTAAAATTTGAATTGTGTAAGAATTTAAAGTTTTGAGGTCTTATAGCAAAATAATTGTTGATGATATATTTTATACTTCTAATAGGCTTAGGAATGCATATTTTCTGACAATTATCAAAGCCTGAGAGAAAGCATAATCACGGAGTGATTACTGTATTGCCCAAATTTCCCTCATATGTAAATTGGGTTCATCGGCAAGATGCGAGAGAATTGGAGCTAAAATTGTTAGGAGTAGTCATGTCATCCTATAAGACCTTAAAACTCAAACTACTCGCACAGTTCAAATACTAGTACATTATTCCAACATCTGCGCGTTTTTCGTTTTTTGGACCTCTATTTTTTCTTGGGACCTCTAAACTTTTTTGGGACCTCTAATTACTTTTGGGACCTCTGTTTTATTTTGGGACCTCTAAATTTTTTTGGGACCTCTAAACTAGAAAAGAGCCGAAATTTCTCCAAAATGTTCATAAAAATGGAAAATTCGGTGAATCGGAAAAAAAATTCCACAAAAATTTTATCGAAAACTTTTTTTTCGAAAAAAGTTGTCGCATCAAAAATGAGATGCGAATCAAATTTGCCCGCCAACTTTTAGCCCCTCTTTTTCATTTTTTTCTATTTTTTTGCTATGTTGTAAAGGGTTTAAATTTGGGAATTTGAAGAAAAAAAATGGGAAAAAAAATTTAAAAATATGTTTTTGAAAAAAAAAGAATTTCATGTTTTGGAGAAACCAAAGAAAGGGGACCTAGACAATAGAATTCATTGGTTTTTGGGATTTTTTCAGTTTTTTTTTTTTTTTTGAAAAAAAAGTTTTTTGGATTTTGGTTTTTGAATATTTTTTTTGGAAAAAAATCCAGCCAAAAAAACTAGTGGTCTAGATTTCCAAATTTGTCAAAATAGACATTTTGTAAATAAACATACAAAAAATTCAAATTCTGAATTTCTGAATTTATGAATTTATGAATTTCTGCATTTCTGAAATTCTGGTTTTCTGAATTTTTGAATTTCTGCATTTTTGAAATTTTGAATTTCTGAATTTCTGAATTTCTGAATTTCTGCATTTTTGAATTTCTGAATTTCTGAATTTCTGAATTTCTGAATTTCTGAATTTCTGAATTTCTGAATTTCTGAATTTCTGAATTTCTGAATTTCTGAATTTCTGAATTTCTGAATTTCTGAATTTCTGAATTTCTGAATTTCTGAATTTCTGTCAATATAGGAATCAAATCAAAGCTCGGGACCTCAAAATTTTATTTTCAACATTTACAACTTGTGGCCTAGCTTTGCCAGATCCTCCGCCACCATTTAAATACATATTTAACGCCGTGGCCGAACTTTGTCGGATCCTAGGCCAGCAACTCTAAATGAATAGAAACTAGGCAATATGGATATCAAAATAAAGCTTGGGACCTCAGAAACTGATATTCAACATTTTCAACTTGTGTCCTAGCTTTTTCGGATCCTAGGCCACATATTAAACCCATCTCCGACTCCGTGGTCTAACTTTGTCAGATCCTAGGCCATCGTTTTTTTCCTTCCTTCTTCTTTTTCATTTCCCTTCCTAGTTCCACTAAGCCCTCATTTCTCCGCCAGTCTTAACCACCACTTTTTGGTCCTCGACAAGTGTTTGAAAAGAAAAATAAAGAGAAGAAGACCAAGAAACAAGAAATTTTTGAAGTGGGGAGGAGAACATGTGGGGGTGGATGGGAATTGGTGGCCTAGGAATACGAAAAGTTCGGCCATAAGGATTTAAACAATGAAATAAAGTTCCAAAGGAATGAGTTCAATGGGCCAACAATCTGAAATGTGAGACTTTTAAAGGTGTAAAAGAGGGGCGGAGCTTCTCAAGGGGGCGGGATCAGCCTGGATTGATGGCCTAGGAGCCGCCAGAGGGTTTGAAAATGATAAAGATGAGTTTTTGAGATCACAAGCTTTCAATTGATACCCATATTGCCTAGTTTCCTGAATTTTAGATTGGTGGCCCAGGATCCGAAAAAAAAAATTCGGCCACGGTGTTGAAAATGTGTCTAAATGGTAGCCTAGAATCCGACAAAACTAGGCCAGGGGGTTGAAAACAACACAAATGGAGTTTTTGAAATCACAAATTCCAGCTTGATAACCATATTGCCGTGTTACAAGTATTTTTGGGATTGGTGGCCTAGGACCCGACAAAGTTCGGTCACGGTGTCCAAGATAGGTGTAAATTATGGTCTAGGATCCGAGAAAGCTAGGCCAAAGGATTGGAAATGATGAAAATGGATTTTTCAGGACGCGAGCTTTAATTTGGTACCCATATTGCCTAGTTTCAGGAATTTTGAGAGTTGCTAGTCTAGAATCCGACAAAGTTCGGCCGCGGTACTGAAGGTAGTTTGAAATGGTGGCCTAGGGGCCGGCAAAAGCTAGGCCAGAGGGTTGAAAATGTTAAATTTGAGTTTTCGACTTCACAAGCTTCAATTTGATACCTATATTGCCTTGTTTCTGGCATTTTTAGAATCGCTGGCCTAGGTTCCGACAAAGCTAGGCCAGCACTCCGAAAATGGTAATTTTTACGTCAAATTTCAAATGTCTAGATTTTCAGTGATTCGTGGCTTCAAAAAAGAATTCAAATTTCCCGGCAAATCTTTTCAATTTTATTTCAGAATACTCCAAACAAATAGTATCAAGCGATGAAGACTTCAGGTACCTGGAAATTCTGAAAAATCTGAAAAAACTGAAAATTTGAATTTCAGAGGAATATAGTTCTTACTGGATGAAAATCATAATGCTGACCGGAGCGATGTTCGTCTTTTCCATCACTGGAGGCCTTTTGGCTGGTGCCATTCGAATGATTTATTTGGTTAAGGTTTGTATATGGTGGCCTAGAATTCTCAGTAGGGGAAAAGTTCGGCCAGCAGTTTTTTTTTCAATGTTGCATGTTTTAGGTTTTGACGGAATCTAGGACACCCCTTAAACCCAAATTCGGCCTCGTGGCCGAGTTTTGTCGGATCCTCGGCCAGCAAACCTCAAATTTTTAAAATCTAGGGAAACTAGGAAATATGGATATCAAATCAAAACTCATGACCCGACAAACTCATTTCTGGCATTTTGAATTTTGTGGCCTAGCTTTGACGAATTCTAGGCCACCATTTAAACCCATCTTTAACATCGTGGCCGCGCTTTTTCGGATCCTAGGCCACCTCTTCTAAAAATGCGGGAAACTAGGCATTATGGGTGTCAAATCAAAACTAGTGACCTCGAAAACTCATTTTTGAACTTTAAAACTCAATTTTTCAACACCCAGGCCCATCTTTGTCGGATCCTAGGCCACCATTGATTTTTCAGCTCAACAAATCGCTGATTCGCGCGGCGACCAATCTACATAGTGCCGGACAAATTATGAAAAAAGCGATTCTGGAACCATCGGTTTTGGCTGTGATAGCCAATGAGGGGAATGGAATGGATTTTAATGAGGTGGGGAGCTCAAAAATTGTTTGGCAGCAACATTTTTTTTTTCAAATTAAAAAATTTTCAGTCCTGCGAAGTGTACGAAAAGTGCTCGAAGAAACCCATCAAACTGTTGCTCAATCTGTTTGGAATGGACGATTTGACAAAGGATTTTGTGAAATAGTAAGGATGTTTTGAAGTTTTGAAAAAAAATATTTTTTCAGCTACGACTCCAAATTTCTCAATGCCAAAAAGAAGGGCAAAAGCAAGGACAAAAAGGTCAAAACGAGCAAAAACTCAAAAAAATAATTGAACTCTATGAATAAAAAATTTTTATTTGGAAAATTTTTTTTTTGAATTCCATAACAAAATGAACATAAAACCCGTATTTCAAAAAGAAGGAATTTCAGAATTTTCAGAAAAAAAATCGAGATTTTCAGCAATTTTCAGGAGTTAGTGTTCTTTTTGAGACGATATTCGGCTGAAGTTGAGCATCGGCACGGGTTTGACGGCGGCGACCCATTCGGATTCGTTTTGTTTCACGGATGCAGCGTACAGTAACCTGAAAATGAGAATTTCAGTTTTTTTTTCCCAAAGAAAAAATCGAGGAAAAAATCGAGGAAAAATGAGCGAAAATGAGCCAAAATGGACATTGTGACCTAACTTTTAGTTTTTGGGGTTTTCTAGGCCACGGAGTGCAGGAATTAATTTTTAAGCGTTTTTATCGAAATCGGCATGTTTTCAAATTCAAAATAAGTATAAACAAGGCCAGGATGTGAGAAAAAAGTTATCGAAAAAAAAATATTATTTAAATTTTTTTTAAAAGATCATAACTTTTTTCAAAATTGAGATTTTCAAATTCCATAAATTGAACTGAATTAAGCATGTTCTTAGCTTTAAAATGAGTATAAACAAGGCTAGGTTTTGAGAAAGAAGAAACTTTTTAGACTCCGCCCCTTTTTTGGCTCCGCCCACTTACTTCCAAGGCAATTGCTCCGGCGAGAGCTTCAAATAATCCATAAATGCTGGCATAGAAATAGGTTTTGATAAGTGTAGGAGAGAACAAGATGCAGAAGGATACTGTAAGAATTTTAGATGGTGGCCGAGTTTTGTCGGATTCTAGGCCATCAGCAATTTGAGCGTTTTTGAACAATTTGTTAGCCATTTCCAGCCACTCTCAGTACAAAAAACCCACCAAGTGCCAGTGTGGCGATTCTGAAGGCCTTAACAGCTGCATACGGTACAAAATAGCTTGGTTTGATGTGTCTGAGAGCTACAGTATGCGCCAAGTACAATGAAACTGTGAGCCCGACACCGGTGAGAAGGAAAAATGCAAAAATGACACCCGAGAAGACGAGTGATTCTGGAAATTCGAATTTTTTAAAGATTTTGGAACTTTATCACTTACCAGTAGAAAATTGACGAATACAAGCGTGGAGGAAGACGTTGGCAGAGATGAGCAATGGTGCAGAAATCCATGCTAGTTCCTGAAAAAAAATTATAAATAGTGGCCTAACTTTGTCGGATCCTAGGCCACAAATTCAAAAAAATGTCAAAATTGGCCATAACTTGGCAATATGGGTATCAATCTAAAGCTTAGGGTCTCAAAAACTCGCTTTTAACGTTTACACGCCGCTGGCCTAACTTTGGCGGATCTTAGGCCACCATTGAAACTCGTTTTTACGATGTAGTCAAGCTTTGTCGGATCCTAGGCCACCAATTCTAAAAATGCCTGAAATCAGGCAATATGGGTATCAATCTGATAGTGAAGCTTAGGATCTCAAAAATCTATTTTGAACATCTTCAACCTTCTAGCATAGCTTCATCGGATCCTAGGCCACCTTTCAAACTCAACTTTAACTCCATGGTCGAACTTTGTCGGATCCTAGGCCAATGCCAAAAATAGCTAAAATTAGGCAGTATAGGCATGAAATTAAAGCTTGGGACCTCACAATTTCAATATCAATATTTTCAACCCTTTGGCCCTGTTTAATTGGATCTTAGGCCACTATTTAAACAATCTTTAACGCCGCGGCTTAACCTTGCCGTATCCTAGGCCAGCAATTCTAAAAAAGCCAGAAACTAGGCAATCTAGGTATCAAGTTGAAGCTGGTAATCTTCTATATGAGAATTTGAACCTATTTTTCAATAATTTGAACCACCTCACAGCCTAGTTTTGTCATTTCCAACCGATTTTCATGGAATTTTAAGTTTTTCAAAGCTTTTTTTTCTTTAAAAAAAGCTGCTCACCTGCAAGTAGACAATAATAAAAAGGGTGTGAAGAGTGGAAATGGCATGTTCATGGTCGTTATGTCGGAAACTCATCTCTTCACATTGTCCCTTTAAAGATTCTCAGGAAATTTTTGCAGATCTGAAACTTTCTGAAAATAAAACAAAGATTTTTTTTCTAGTTTTTTTTTCGGGGGGGAAAAAAACAAGGAACGCAAAAAAAAAGTGAAAGAAATGGAGAAGGAAATATAAGGAAATATATAATAGGGACAAGAGAAAAGTGACAGACAGGTGTCCGATTACGGGAAGAAGAGAATATTCGTGACGGAAAGGAAAAAAAAGAATATGGAAGAAAAATTCATTCATCTTCATCAGGAAAAAACTTTTTTAGAACATTTTTGGATTTTTTTGAATAAATTAAAACTTCCTAATTTAGAAATTTCTAAATTCCAGACTTTTAAATTTGCAAAAAATCAGAAATTTTGGAATTTCGAAAAAATTGATCAAAAATTCCAAAAATTTAAAAATCGAAAATTTTGAAAATTCTTTTGAAAATGAAAATTTCAGATTGTGTGTGAAAATTGGGTAATTTCATAAAATTTAAATGTTATGTTTCACAGAATCTTCAAGATTTTCAGAAATTTAAGATTTTCTGAATTTCGAGAACTTTGTAAATTCTGAAGATTTTTGAATTTTAAGAATTTTCAGATATCCTAAGAGAACCTTTAAAAAAATTAGAAAATTTTAAATTCCGAGTTACCGTAAAACCTATATTAGAAGGGTCCCTTTATTAGAAGGGCCCCTCTAATAGAAGGCCGATGAAAATCTGCCAATTTCACCAATATTAAGCAAGATTTTCATCGAAAAATAGAGTTTCAACGAATTTCTATGTATTTAATTTTGGAGTTCTCGGAATTATTTCCCCTGGAAAAAGTACGGAAATTTTCTGATTTCAAAACACATTTTGAAGAGAGAGGGTCCTTTTTCACAGAGGGCCCTTCTATTACAGGTGGCCCTTCTTATATACGGTCCCTTCTATTCAAGGGACCCTTCTAATACAGGTTTTGCGGTATTCTGAAAAAATTCTAAAATTCTAAAAATCAGAAACTTTGAAAATTGAGAAATTGACAAATTCGAAATTTGGAAAATCTAGAATTCTTAGAATTGTGAAATTCAAAGATCTTTGAAAACGTTTGACATTTGGAGATTTTCGAATGTTTCCATTTCGATTTAAAAAAATTTTCTACTTTGAAAAGTTTTTAACAATCCATCAACTGTGAAATCTAAACTTCAAAATACCCCTAAACCACATAAACATGAAAAATGGATTCTAAAGCCTTCTCGAATGAAAAAATGGGGGTCACACGAGTACACCACCACTATATACACACCCTGTTATGTTTTTTTTTGTACCAAAAAAAAAATAAAAAATGAATGGAATGGGTAACTAACCAGACAAATAGGGGACCCCATTTCTCTTTTTTCAGAGCTGAAATTCTTTTTTTTTGTGTATTTTTTTCAAATTCGAAATTAGTCAAAAAAGGACAAAAAAAGTTTTTCTAATGAGCACTTTTTTTCAGGAAAAAACTTTTCGGAAATTTCTTTTTTTTCAATGAATTTCAAATTTTTGGGGTAAAGGGAAAAGAAAAATGTGTGTGTGTGTGTGTGTGTACATGTGCTCTTTTTAAATTTTTTTGGAGCTCATAAATAATTTTCGGGTGAAAAAGAGGGAGGAAATGGAGATGGGTTCATTGAAATTGATTAATTTTTGAGGGGGAGAGACAGGGAGGAAATTCGGAGAGTTTTTGGAAAAATTTTAACATTTTTCGAATTTATCTAGGATTTTTAGATTGTTTTGAGAATTTAAAAGTCCTAGAATTTTTAGAATTTTTAATTTTTAAACTTTCTGAAGTTTAGGTTTTTCGATTTTTCGAAATTTCATTTCGGTTTTTTGGAGTATCTTAAAACCTTTATTAGAAGGGCCCCTTTAACAATAGGGCCCCTCTAATAGAAGGGCCCACCGAGAGGGGGTTGATAAACTAGAAGAGCCCCCTGTAATAGAAGGGCCCTCTGTGAAAAAGGACCCTCTCTCTTCAAAATGTGTGTTTGAAATCAGAAAATTTCCGTACTTTTTCAATGGAAAATATTCCGGGAACTCCACAATTTAATAGAAATTTGTTTCTAGAATTTATGAGATTTTTGGAGTTTTGAGGAATTTTAGGATGTCTAAGATTTTTCAGGTTTTCAACAAGGACGCAGGGACCCAGGGACTCTGTGTTCCAGAGTTTTCAGGATTTTAGAAATTCAAAGGGTTTTCGAGGATCATCAGAATTTCTAGAAGCTTTAGAATTTTTAAATTTTCTAGAATTTCAGAATTTTTGGAACTTCTAAGATTTTTCATCGAACTTTTCGAAATAATGAAAATTTCAAAACAAAAAAAAACAAGTAAGACATATTTCTCGAAATTTCCAAAATATTCAAAAAAAAAAGGCATTTGAAAAATTGAATTTTATAGAATTTAAGGGAACTCAACTTTTTTCTATATCCCAAAAAATCCAAAATAAAGAACTCCTTCTTCCAAAAATCGGGGTTTTTTTAGTAGTGTGAATGTAATTTACTCTTTTTTTTCTCTTATTTTTTCCACTCGTTCCTCCACCCAACGGAACCAATTGAGAGTGAAAAATGGCGGCGGCAACAGAGAAAATAAAGAAAATAAAGAAAAATGAGAAAACAAAAATTGTGATTTTTGAGCAAACCCAAAAATTTTGGGGGAAAAATTTAGATTGATGGAAACTTTGCATGTCAAAACTTGTGACAAAATGGAATTAAAATTGAGGGGTTGGAGAAGTTTTTTGAAAATTTAAAGGAAATTTTTTTTTATCTTGTCCCAAATGCTCCAAATCTAAAAATTAGGAAAACATTGAATCCAAGTTCAGAAATTCAGAAATTCCGAAATTCAAAAATTCAGAAATTCAAAAATTCAGAAATTCAGAAATTCAGAAATTCAGACATTCAGAAATTCAGAAATTCAGAAATTCAGAAATTCAGAAATTCAGAAATTTGGAAATTTGGAAATTCTGAAATTCAGAAATTCAGAAATTCAGAAATTCAGAAATTCAGAAATTCAGAAATTCAGAAATTTAGAAATTTAGAAATTCAGAAATTCAGAAATTCAAAAATTCAGAAATTCAGAAATTCAGAAATTCCGAAATTCAAAAATTCAGAAATTCAAAAATTCAGAAATTCAGAAATTCAGAAATTCAGAAATTCAGAAATTCAGAAATTCAGAAATTCAGAAATTCAGAAATTCAGAAATTTGGAAATTTGGAAATTCTGAAATTCAGAAATTCAGAAATTCAGAAATTCAGAAATTCAGAAATTCAGAAATTCAGAAATTTAGAAATTTAGAAATTCAGAAATTCAGAAATTCAGAAGTTCAGAAATTCAGAAATTCAGAAATTCAGAAATGCAGAAATTCAAAAATTCAGAAATTCAGAAATTCAGAAATTCAGAAATTCAGAAATTCAGAAATTCAAAAATTCAGAAATTCAGAAAATCAGAAATTCAGAAATTCAGAAATTCAGAAATTCAGAAATTCAGAAATTCAGAAATTCTGAAATTCAGAAATTCCGAAATTCAGAAATTTAGAAATTTAGAAATTCAGAAATTCAGAAATTCAGAAGTTCAGAAATTCAGAAGTTCAGAAATTCAGAAATTCAGAAATTCAGAAATGCAGAAATTCAGAAATTCAGAAATTCAGAAATTCAGAAATTCAGAAATTCAAAAATTCAGAAATTCAGAAATTCAGAAATTCAGAAATTCAGAAATTCAGAAATTCAGAAATTCAGAAATTCAGAAATTCAGAAATTCAGAAATTCAGAAATTCAGAAATCTAGAAAACCAATTTTTTTTTAAATTTTAAGAGTTATTTTCAGATTTCAAGGCTATAATTTGATGGCGTGTGTGTTGTTGACAGGTACCCTTTAAGCAAGAAAACATAGAAAAATGGATATCTAAAAACTAGCAATTAGGACATGACCAAAAAATGAGGAAAAGGAGGAAGCGGAAGATCTGAAAATGACAAAAAATGAACAAAATTTTGATTTCCTGGTTTTTTTTTGCACTTCATTTTTTTCTTATCTATATTAGGTTCTATTTGCAAAGTGGGAATTTTTACAAAAAGATACAAAGAACGATAATTGTTAGTTAGTAGCCCGTCAAATTACCTACAAAACATCAATTACTTCAATTCGGAATTCCAGTTTTGAGCCGAGTTATGCGCCTTTAAACTAACTGTAACTCTAATAGAACGCCTCCCGGACCGTCCACTTTGTTGAGCCTATATATTTCGGCTCCTGTGAAAGATATCAAAAAGAAGTCAACTAATGAAATGGTTATCATAATATCAGCAATATTTTTTCAGTTAATCACTTTTTGATATCTCTCACAGAAAATAAGATACATAGGCTAAAACTTGAAAATTCGGGTGGCGTGCAACTGAAAATTGCGTCGAATACTTCAATAATTCAAAGAAATCTCGTATAATAGGAACGCTTTTTCAACGATTTTTTATATAATCGGGTTGAAATTTTAATTTTTAAAGGGACAGGAGATTTTTCGTAGTTTTTTTGTAGCTAGAGTATGCATTCTACCGTCACGGTGTACAACGCTTAATGTCACTCTGCGTACAGCTGTCGTCCTCGCCTTTATGTTTGCAATCGGGCGGCAGCTTCCTCTTTGCCCGCGTGGCTCAGTCGGTAGCGGCGCCGCACCCTCAATCATCGCCCTCACAAGTTCAACTCCTCGAGGGGCATCTTTGAACGAAATTTCGAGAACATTATTTTTTTTCATGTCCCCCCTCCTTTAATGAAAATCATAGTCTCTTATATGATAAACATTTTATTAGTTGACCACTTATTGATATATCTTGCGGTAACCGAGATAATTAAGTTTGAAGAAGTAGTGTTTCAAATGTTATTGAGGTTTCTGAGCCAGTTTCATGCCTTTTAATAGCAAGTTTCATCATTACTTATACCGTAAAACCTGTATTAGAAGGGCACCTCAAAAAGAAGGGCCCTCCGAGAGGGGCTTAGAAAAATAGAAGATTAACCTGTAATAGAAGGGCCCCCGTAATAGAATGGACCCTTGTGAAAAAGGACCCCCCCCCCCCCTTCAAAATGTGTTTTGAAATCAAAAATAGAAGGTCCCTCCGGAGGTGTCTTGGGACAATGAAAGCGCCGGCCCTTACGACAGCTACAGTATACCAAATTGAATGACTTTAAAAATAGAAATCAAAACTCGTTCACTTATCATCCGAAAGTCAATGTTAGCAGCTACAGTAATCCTGAAGAGAATAGAAGAAATAGAAGAAGAAGAAATATCAGAATTTCCATTTTTGAGTGGGCGTTTTTGGAGGGGCGGAGGGGAGAGGGAACATACTAATTGCCTACAAATATCTCAGAAAAGAGTGTCAAAAAGGAAATGATTTGAGCCAATTTTATTGGTATGTATAACCATATTGAGAGGCTCTTTTGGAAATAAAAGAATTCCTTTTTTGGGAGGGGAGAGGGACTCGGGATTTCCTCACACCTTTCTGTAGCATTTTGAAGGATCTCTCGACTTTCTGTAGCTGTTTAAAGGTGGGGGGGACAGGAGATTTTACGGGGGATTTTTGGGGCCAGAGTATGCATTCTACCGTGACGGTGTACAACGCTTAATGTCACTCTCCGTACAGCTGTCGTCCTCGCCTTTATGTATGCAATCGGGCGTGCGCTTTCTCTTTGCCCGCGTGGCTCAGTCGGTAGCGGCGCCGCACCCTCAATCCTCGTCCCACACGTTCAACTCCTCGAGAGGCATATTTAAACGAAATTTCGAGAACATTATTTTTTTCATGTCCCCCCCCCCTTTAAGCGCGTTGCGTGCTCGCAAAGCGTGCTATTATTTTTATTTATACCAGTGTAAATTCGGTTCTTTTTCTCGTTTTTTTTTCGATTTTATAAAATTTTTAAATATTTTTTAGTGATTTTTTTTTGTATAACGAAAATTGTGAAGATTTGAAACATGTTTAATGGGTCAAAGGTATTGAATAGCAGCAGAGTTCCAAGGAGGTTGTTACGTAAGATCTTGATCTTGATTCTTTTGAGAATTTGGTTTGTTTCAGAGTCGACATGGAACCATCTATTTAATGGAAAAGATGAGGATAATAATGATGATAATGTGAATAAATCCAGAAGAAGCTCAGAAGTATCGACGAGCTCTATTGAAACTAATGAATTTGAAGAAGATGAAACACATCAAGTAATGGAAGAAATTGAATGTGAAAGTGTTCAGGATTTGATGTGTGAAGAAGATATTTGTCGTAAAATTAAAATGTTAAAAATTAACTTGAAACTTGAATTTTGAAAATTCAAATCAAAGATTCCTCTTTTCAGCCGTCTTCCCGATTTTCAGAACCAAAATATAGGCCAACGATAAATAAATATTCCAGTAATTTAAAACAACCATTTGTAAATGTCTTTATTTTTTGCCGCAGAAAATAACTCAGACCATTAGTAGAAAAATGAAAAGATTTCGAATCAGTTGAAAATTGAGTGACCAAATCCCAAAAGTACTAAAATATGAATCAGGGAAAACATAGAATAAGATGAGGAAGGCCCACTTGGAGGGACATTTTCAGATTTCTTTGTAGTTGTGATTACTGTAGTCGTAGTTACAGTAGAATTGGCCGTTCCTGTGTATTTGCAGAGTCCATTATTATTTTCATGACCATATTCACATCTAGTTCCGGCTTCTCCATAAAAAAGGAATAAATCATTCATGGGTGTTCTGGAAAATTTCAGATTATCTCTTAACATTCTTAAATTACTGCTGTGCTACACTGTTGAAAGTCGCGAAACTCGATTTTAAAAAAGTGTGCAATAGATAAGGATTTCCAAAATTTTCTAGAATTTTAAAATCTGAAATTTCAGACTCACTCATGATTCAGAAAGCAATATTGCTCTGTTGTGTTCTCAAATTCATTATTACATCCAATTTTATCAACAAATGGGAAGAGATAATGAGAATTCGTACTGTAATACCCATCAAATCCTCGGCTTATATGCTTCACATCATTGAGAAAATTCTCAAAATGTTCTTCAAAATCTCTTTCATCCAAAATTGTAAAATATCTGTCTTTTCCATCTACCAATGTGTGATTTTCGATACGATTCTCTACTTCTACTGCCAAATCGAGGCTCCAGACCTGAAAAAATGAACTTGAATGCTCTACAAAAGTAATTAGAAATTGTCAGAAATTTTTGAAAATTTCCATGATTACTAAACAAAACTAGAGCTTCATTTTTGTAGTTGACAACTTTTCGATAAAATTTCATCTGGGAGAGATACGGCAACAACTAAATAGTATGTCTGGAAATTCAAAAATAGGTTTTTTATGGCCTAAAAATTCCTTTAAAATTTTCAAAATTTACTCACCAATTCTCTCATATTTGGAATTTTCTCATTTTTTGCAAAATCTCTTCTTTTTTCATTCAATTTTTCTACAAATTCTGAAATGTTCCATTCCGAAGAAATCACGGGGAAAATTAAAAGTGCTAAGAGTAGAAGGCGCATATTGGGGAACATTTTAGACAAAAAGTGAGAGAAAAAAGTTGAATATTGGCTTTTTTTAGCTGAAAATCTTGAAAACCAACATTGAATTTCCGGATTTAATATCAACAAAAAAAACACGTCATGGGTTGGAAAAAACATTTTTAAAGTTATATTTTTGTTCTGAAAATCGGGAAGGCGGCTGAAAAGAGAAATCTTTGATTTGAATTTTCAAAATTCAAGTTTCACGTTAATTTTTTAATTTTTAATTTTACGACTTTTGTAAAAAAGGGGTCAATAGACGAAAAAAAAAGTGAAAAGATTTTTCCACTATGACGAATCAGTTTGAAAAATTTCGAACTATCGAAAAGTGAGTTTTAGGTGTTTTTCAGATTTCCAAAACATTTTTGAAAGTTTTCAGAAGATGCGCCTCCTATTTTTGGCACTTCTCATTTTCCCACTGGTCTCTTCAGACTGGACCGGTCCACAATTCGTGGAAAAAGTGAATAAAGCCAGAAGAGAATTGGCAAAAGGAATGAAAATTCCGAACATGAGAGAATTGGTGAGTGTTTTAAAATTTACCAGAACACTTTGAGTTAACTTTTCTTTGTTTTTTTTTAAATTGGAAAAAAATTCTGAACTGATAAATTGCTAATCAATAAGTTAATTTTCTGATCATTTTGATTATTTTCAGAAGTCTAAAGCTCGACTGTCAAGTTTATGTTTACTTTGAAAACAGCTGAAAAACTAGGAATATTTTCGAAATAGTCTATGAATGCAAAATTTTGGAAACTTGAAAGCCGAGCTCCAGACTCCTGACAATGGCCAAAAATGAACTTGAAAATTTGATCTTGTTTATCTTGCTGACAGGTACTGTACACTTTTTCCAGGTCTGGAGCGACGATCTGGCACACGAAATGACTACGAAGAATTTTTCTATAATCTATGGTTATGATCCCGATGAAAGATATATACAAACCATACACTACAGCACTTATGAAGGACTTTTAAATAGTATTCTTGAGGAAAATCTAAATTCAATCGGAATCCTGACCCAGAGAAATATAATAGCACATATGAATATATATTTATATTTACATATTATTATCCTCTCTTTGAAAAGATCGGGTGTAACAAAGATGATATGGAAACGATATGGTGCATGTTTTCACCTGGATGAGTCGGAATTTCCAGATTTTCGAAAATATTTTCGAAAGTTTCATCTTTTGGTTGATGAAAATCTGTTTATTTAGTTTGATTANNANAAATTAAGGTTGGCGGGAAAGTCTTTGTCACTCTGTTTGTTTAATCACTGTTCTCGTATATGGAGGCTGTGTATGATATCGACTCTAGTGAATAACAAGGTGATAAGAACCTTCCATATAAACAAGTCCCCATTTCCTTCCCTGCTCCTCATCTGTAATTGAAACGATATGTTTGTTCCCACTGCAATTCACATCAAACATGTTTTGATTTACCTCTTCCTATCTCACACCACGATGAAGGATTCGGAAACTTTCTTGAAGATGTGTACAACACCATGCCCCTCACTACAATACTATTCGCAATTGGTTCCATCGTTTCGAAAAGATGACTTCTCGCTCGATGAAAAGGATCGCTCTGGGAGACCCCGTGAGTTGGATTTGGACAAGCTGAAGCACGCATTGCAATCGGATCCATTTCAATCTAGCCGTGAACTAGCTGTCACATTCGGAGTTCACCATAGCACAGTCCTTGAAGGTTTGAAGTCTCTTGGAATGAGAAAACTTTTTGGTCGATTCATACCTCATCACCTGACTCAAGCCAACCTTGACCGCCGAGTCGACGATTCGATTACTCTTCTCACTCTCCACGCGGGCGATCGATGGCTGGACCGGCTAATAACCGGAGATGAGAAGTGGGTCTTCTACGATAATCACCACAGGAAATCCCAGTGGGTTGGAGAAGGAGAGAGCCCACAGGATGTCCCCAAACCCGACCTTTATCCGAAAAAAGTTATGCTCTCTGTGTGGTGGGGAGTGGACGGCCCCATCTACTGGGAACTTCTGCCCGAGGGCAAAACAATAACTGGAGACCTCTACACTACTCAACTACGAAACCTCAAGAAAGCAGTCGACCGTTCGGCCCTGAAAGACAAGAAAGTGTACTATCAACATGATAACGCTCGCCCACATGTTTCGAAACAAGTGAAGCAGGAGCTGATGGGATATGGATGGAATGTTCTCCCTCACCCCCCGTATTCTCCTGATCTTGCTCCTTCCGACTATTGGTTATTTGGCGATATGACACGTGCCTTCGAAGGAAGAAGCTTCAATTCCCGTGGAGCGGTCGAAGCGGCACTCAAACAATACTTTGCCTCACGCCCGGCTGGATTCTACCGCAATGGAATCCATAAATTGAGGGAACGTTGGAGACATGTTGTTGATAATGATGGACAATATAATTAATTATTCGGTTATTTTTTCTTTGCGAAATAAACTATTGAAAAAGTGACAAAGACTTTCCCGCCAACCTAATAAATAGGGCATTGTGTTTCTGACCAAGTATTTATAATTGCATTGTCTTTGAAATCGAAAATCTAAAATTTTCAGAATCCCCGAGGAGCATCTTGATGACAATTTCAATTTAAAAATTGAATCTCTATTTCTTTTTTTTAATCAAAAATGTGATTACGGTTATGAAGACAATGATGGACTCTGCAAATACACTGGAGCAACTACAGTAATCACAACTGAAGTAACCACGACTACAAAGAAACCGACACATGACGTTGTTGAGAGTTCCTCTTCTTATCCAATCTTTTCTATGGTCCATATTTTGGTGGTTTTGGTATTCGGATGCTCGATTTTTACTTGATTTAAAACTTCAATTTTCTAATGGCCTGAATTATTTTCTCTGGCAAGAAATGAAGATATTTCTGAAATTTTGTTCTAATTTCTTGGAATTTTTTTCTATCTGATAAACTTTGTAAACAACAGATAAATAAGAATACTGAAAAGATTTTGATTTTTCAAAATTCGAAATTTCAATAAATTTAGAAATTTGAAAAAATTAAAATTTTATTCACAATTAGGACAATATACAAATGCAAGACAAATCGATTTTTTAAAGCCTACAGTTCAAAAAATCAACTTCAACAAATTGGTTTTTTTCCAAAATTCGCAGAAAATATCACTGTTTTAAGGCCGCAATGTTAAAGGAGGCCAGACATGAAAGTCTACGGATTTTTCTTGAAGCGAGATCATGTATTCTGACGGAAAATCGGGCGATTGCGACCCAATGCGCGCTACTTGACGAGCATTTATTTTTTTTAGTGTACACTAGATTTCTTCAATGTAAGGCAATAATTCCGGACTTTTTGTCGATATTCTGTCATTCCATGATGTCGCTGCATGAAAACAGAAAAAAAAACGAAAACGGATAGATGGGAAACGAACCCGCGATGCGCGACCGCACAGGTAGAGGGGGACTGCCGAAAAACTGCTAAATGACAGCTGAAGAGGCGCAAACTGGCGAATGACTGCTAGTTGGCAGCCGAAGGAGAACCGACGGGCCGTCGACGGACAGTCGGTACCGATTGGAAAACATACTTGAAGGTTCTGATTGGAAATCATGCAGAAAACAATTTCTCATACCCCCACCAGATTATAGGAAATGATAGAATCTTATTTTCCTAAAATAGGACCACTTCAAAAAATAGGTTGTTGAACGACTGCTAAATGACAGTCGAAGAGGCGCTGACTGGTTGATGGCGGCTGAATAAAAAAATATGTTTGAAAATTCCTTGGTATATATCTAGAAGCATGTGTTAGCATTTTCGTGTTCCAAGATCTTTACTCGAGTTGTCATTGCATGATAATAATCAATCGTTCAGGACACATGTTCTCGGTCATATTTTTTTTACTGCCGAGTTTCAAAATTTCGGTCATAGAGATTTGCAACGACACTCCGAAATCCCGCAACGACACTCCGAAATCCCGGCTGCGCCTTGTTTAGCGACACAAGACTTTACTAATTTTTCGTCTTTTTTTCAGTTTCTTTCGCTTTTCGAAGTGTTCTCTTATTGAAATTCAGTATTTTTCGCTTAATTTATCTAACTACTGGCATAAAGAAGCACTGAAAAGCTTTGCGCACTTTCGCTCTGCGCGTTTTTAGTTGAAAACGCAGAAGTCGGCGAAAACTCCTTGCGATGAAAGTTTCGAAAGTTTCGCTATTTTTTGCTTCGGAACGTTACAAATGCAGCCTTTCAGGAGTTTTTATATGGTGAGTTGGTAAGTTTTTATACGTTCCGAAGCAAAAACTATCGTAAATTCTGAAATTGTTCATGCGCTGTCGAAAATTCACCTCGCTTCATAGGTGTGACGTTTTGCAAGTGCAATGTTTGGAAAATAACAACTTTGCAAGGTTCGCACAAAAATTAATACGAAAATCAGTTTTTGCTGTTTCTGACTCGTTTTTTAAATTTCACATGCGAAACGTCGCCCTTTTGAAGTCTGCTTTAAAAATGCCGCAGAGCCTAAAAATCTAAAGATTTTTTACTTGTCAGTTTTTAGTGTTGCGAACGCATCAATTTTATTTATTTTGAACGTACTTATAAGCGAAAAATACTGTTCAATGAGAGAAATGTACATACCGAGAAACGAAAAAAGTTGAAAGGGAGAAACGAAGAAGAGAAAGAGAACGAAAGGAAATAAAAAAAAAGCTTCTGATTTTCCGAGTTGAGTTTCTATGAAGTTTGAATTTTGCGAAAACACAGAAAGAAAATCGGAAGTTCTGTCTCATTCAGAACTTGTGATTTCTTATGTATTTTCTCTTGTTCTACTCATAAAAATTCACCTTTGAAAAAATCAGAGTTACTTTTTAAAAACAATACACAATCCACAGAAACTATTAGTTGAATAAAGAATTTCTATTGTTTATTACCTGTTTAATGATGAACTGTCAAGAAGGCGCTATCATTATAGACGGTCAGCCTTCGAGTCGTAAATCGTTACAGACGGACCGTCGGCGGCGCGCGATTCGACTGCCGACTGTTCGCTTTTCGGCAGTCCGCGCCTGCCAGACGGCCCATTTTTCGGCAGCCCCCCTCTACCTGTGAATGTGCCCGCATGGTGTAGTGGTATACACTGTTGGCTATTAAGCTGAAGGTTTTTGGTTCAACCCCCCGCCGAGGATTGATTTTTTTTTGTTTTTTGCTTTTGAAAAAATTGTTTATAAAAGCACCTTACACACTTTAATCAATTTAATCAATATTTCTAAATTTTTAACCATTAAAAATGTTATTTTTGCTCTCTTTTTCGAGGATTTTTCGAAGGAAAATTGAATTTATCGATTTTTCTCCTTTTTTCTGTTTTTTTTTCATTCGACATATTTCAAATCTCAGCTCTCTGGAAGTTTTGCGGAATCTGAAAAATCGATAATCGAGTTTAAGAATATCGATCCGATTGACTTTCAGAAGTTTCTAGAGCTTATTCACGGTGCCTCGACAGTTGAAGGTACACAGATAAATATAATCGAAAAAAAAACCTTCTAATGTTTTAGATTTCTCTGTTTCCAAAATTCTGAAATTGGCGAAATCATCTTGAAAACTTCTTTGTGGGTTACTGTAGCCGTTTAAACGTTTTTTTTAGCAGATTTTCAGAAACAAAACTATTCGAAAAATTTTTTAATTGAGAAATTGAAAAAAACGGCTAAAAATACAAAAATTCAGCACTTTTTCAGCCGATTTCAACATTTTACAAGTACAGTAGTTTCTTTAAAGGTGCATGCTGCATATTGTGAAAAGGTTTCGAAGCGTCTTTTCTGTTTTGTAATTTTCAGCGTTTTTTTCTGAAAAAAAAAACTTTAAAGAATTTATTAAAATCAAAAGAATGGAAAAAAAAGAAGTGTGATGGTATCAGACAGCAAAAAAACATTTTATTAAAAATTCAATTAAAAGAGAAGGCCTTGTTGAACAATTCCGCCCAGACATCTTGATTGATTTGAAATGGGTCTTCCGGTAGAACTGATTTCACATCTTCCTTGTTTTTCATGCCAGAAATGCACTTTTTCTGGAAATTTCAACTATTTTAGGTAGGAAATTCTCAAAAATAAATAAAAAACCTTCAATGGCTCCAATCGATATTTAATAGCCAATTCGAATTTCGACTTGAGTGATTTTTCGGATTTATTCATCATAAACGCTTCACATCTTCTGAAAACAGCTTTCGAATCGAAAAAATCGGCCAAATGGAGGAGTCCTTCAACAGTGTCATCTGAAAAATCAATAATTGCTCAGAATATTCCAAAAACCCATACCATTCACAAATGTCTCTCCGTTGATAAGCTCTAGAAAGTTCTGAAAATCATTCGGATCGACATCCTTTAATTCAATTTCAGATTTTTGAAATTCCGAGAAATTTCCGAGAAATAGAGATTCGAAATATACGGAATGAGAAGCCACGAATAATTTTGAGACATAGAATTTTTGATTTCCAGCCAACAAACAGACATCTGAGAACTTCTTCGCCACGTCATCATCAAAAATTCTCAGCTTCGGAAGTTGCTTCGGAATTTCGAATCCTGTCATTTTCTTGATTGTCACGTGGAATTCTGCTTCCAGGTTTACATTGAGCATTGAGTCCACTTCGATTTCCATCGACCATTCGCTTCCGACAACGTCTTCTGCTTTTCGAAATTCTAATTGATAATAGTCAGACGTCTCATAATCTGAATCCTCCCAGGAATGACGAAGCTTCCAGAAGATTCCGAAGTGTTTTTCTTCGTTTCCATAAACTACTTCTTTATCATACAATGGAACGTTTCCAAAAACATACTTGATCACAAACTTCTTCTCCTCTCTATTTTCTGTCATTTTTGTCGATCTTTGCAGCGGGTTACCTGGAAAAAACAAGGAATTTTAAAAATTCAACAAGAATTTCAATATTCATGCCGAAAATCTGAGAAAAAAAACTAGAACTTTGAAATTTTTCATGTCTGGTCTCCTTTAAAAAGAAAAGAAAGAATTTCATCAATTCAAAAGCTTCTGAATTTTCAAAAAAATCCGATTTTCAATTTTTTAATTTTATGGCTTTTTGGTCAAAAAAAATGGGGTCATTAGATCAAAATCTGGATATACAACCATTTTTTCTTTTATGTTTTTTTTCTCTTATTTTTTTGTCATTTTTATTAATTTTCAATAAATTTGTATTGGTGAACTCTATTTTCAGTTTACAGAGAATATTAGGACATGGGGAGGGGAGGAACTGCTGCGCGGCGGCGTGGATCCTATATGCTTTGGACGGCGCATGGATCCTATATTGCCTATTCAATAAAACGTGGGCGCGCCGCAGGTTGCAAAGTGACACGCCCCTTTATGAAACGCGTGAGAAGAGGGAAAAGGGAACGCGTTCCAAAAAGGGGCGGGG